TTTTGTTATTTTTAGCTCGTTACTCTTTTACAGTTTTATTCACCCGTATTAAAGTATAATGTTCAAAATAACCGGGTCTTCCAACAGTCTTACTTTCATCCAACAATATATATAGGTATGTTTTTTGTTTTTTACGGTGGTTTATTTTTCTCAGCTCTTACCCCCTCTTCTCAAGACATATGATTTTCCCCCAGTCCCTTCATAGCTGCATTCTCATACATTTTAGGGGTAATTGAAGGGGTTTTTTCAAACTCTGTGTTGGTTTTTACGATGCATGAAATACATAAAAAATATTTCAATTTGAACTCACTTAGAATATCTTTTCTTGCTGCAATGTGTTGCTTGACAATTGTAGATTAAAAACAACGGCTAGTCGCTGTTAGTGAAGACATGGCAGCCATGTTTTCTTCTTTTCCTTGCTCCTGCTTCAGGGCAAACCAGCAACACCCCCGTGATTTGCTGTCGTCTGAGGTAGCTGAAAGAGCCCCCTGCTGCTCCCCTCCCTCCAGGAGGCCAAGCCAGGGTCTCCGCTTGCGCGGGCAACCCCCAAAGAACAAAGAAGACGCGGACGGCTCAGGGGCATCCCAAAGACACGTCTGCTAACAGCACCAACACCGCTCAGAATCGGTGGCCTTGGTACCTTAACCTACCTTTTACTTGACCGCACTTTAGTACTTTGGAAGCATTTAGTTCTATAAATGACTGAAGAATACCGCTCTTAGAACTAAATGAGAACCACACTGTCAACATTGTGTGGAGGATGAATCTGACAAGTGGTGGACTATTGACAAGCTTCAGGAATGGTAAAAGGATGACTCCTCACAGAAATTAATCCTAGGGGTAAGAAAATGGATAAGAGGAACGTGTTCTCATACATCCATTAAGAGCTGTGCAGCACCCCCTCCCCCCTTTGGCATGAACATAGAAGCTACTATCTCCTCCCTCTAACTGGCGTGTTAAGTGTCAGGTAGCCCTGTCATGGTGTTGGAATGTGATCTCCCTCCTGTTCTCAGCACTTTTCTGCCTTGAAGATGTTTTTCTGTAATTCCCCAGGCCTGGGAACTGTAACTGCTTTAGGCGCAAAATTGCTTGCTTGCTTGCTGGGCCTGCGCAAGAAAAAACTTCATTGGCTTTGCAGGTGGGGGGGGCTGTTTGAATATTCTATAAGTTAGAAGCCATCTATAAGTAGCCATTCTATAAGTTAGTAGCCATCTTATGACAGGTCATTCTTAACACAGGCTGTAATGATTCCTTGTTTTATATATGTTTATGTTTATGCTTTCAATTTAATACCCCGCTCTAATCCCATAGTTGGGGTCTCTGAGTGGCTTACAAGTTTTTCTTGGTGCTAGTCACCGTTTCTGTTTCCTAACTACGGGCACAATGTGTATAGGGGAGGGACATCCTACCAGCACCCCCTCTGTGGTGGCATGTCATGCTGTTCTCTCTGTCGGGGCAGTTCGACTTGGTCAGACGGGACTTGGCGGAAGTGTCTTGTCTCTGGCGTTCGGTGGTGGTGCGCTCTTCCCAGACGCTCGGCTTCGCCTACTTCCGGCCCAGCTATGTCCTTTTTCCGGCTCCGCTGGGCTGGTGCTCGGCGCCTGCGCACGTCCACTTATCCTTCTCAGCAGCCGTCGGTGCACTCCTCCTTCGCCACCAGGGATCGCTCTGCCGCGCACCTCCCGCTCGCGCCCGCTCGCTGCCGCCACGCCGTCACTGCCGTCCACGCCAGGTTCTCTGCGCCGTCATCGTTGTCGCCATTGC